GGCGGCGAAAAGTTCAAGGGACTTGGACTTATTCTGACTTTGGTGGGCTTGGGAAAACATTCTGTTTTTCATGACGAATTCACGGTAGGTACGGTCAGCAATGAGGATAGAATTAGTATTGTAGCAATACAGTACTAGCAGTAATACCGTATGGATGACGCTTAATTGACGAAACATGTTGAGGGTGTTCTCCATGGCTTTCGAGTTGTATCTTTCTGTTTCCAAATTAGTGGACTTGGTTATGCCCGCACTCGGCCCAGAGACCAATATTATCATTGAACGACAGATCTGTATCAATCCGTAGATGATCCTTTCGGGAGCACATATTCCACAGGTAAAATGGTTTTCCGGTCCTGCCATGGAACTCAGGGAAGGACGGGTCATTGAGATTCCGGTGATGGCTATCTATGTTCTGTCTCGGTAGGACTTACGCACCCTGTAGGCCATCACAGGCCATCACAACCCCAGAAACCGGGTTTGCGACCAGAGTAGGTGAGTGGGCAGCGACCCGGCCATGTTGTCAACCTTCTGCTCGGGGGCACGTATGAGCTAGGGAGGGGGAGAAGGCTTGTGCAGCGTTACTAACATATGAATGACATTACTACGATTGCCGCGCAAGGCAACAGAGCAGTGTTCTTGCCTTTTCTTTCGTAGGTTTTGGTCCTGGTTCCGTGCTCCTGAGGCGTTGATGAATACGAGCTGGAGATGGTGAGAGTCTTTCTATGTGGTGTCTATAGTTTGCCAGTCTCGTCATCGCTTCAGCTTGTGACCAAGTATTACACGGCACTAGATATGACAGTGGAGGTGATAGGATTGTCATGTGGCATGGTGATGATCAGATTACAAACGAAGTCTTCATTCATCGGTACAGAAGGTGACTATGTGCGAGCTTATGTCCCACTTTTCGCCTTTATTCGCCATCCTGGCGAGGCAGCCAAGGAGTAGGAGACTTTGACGGGAGACTTTGACGACAAAATTCATATCTGGCGAACCACGAATAAAACGTTCTGCGGCCTTCCTCACGAATCAGAGCGAACAAGGTTTTCTCTCGTGAACGGTATCTTCCGAGAGAGAGGTAGTACGGTGAATGTAAGTTTGGAGGCGTTCTGTCAGGTGGAGAGGGGAATCGCTTTGGTCGTAGAGGGACATACCCGACGCGATGAACTCTCGGATGAGGGACATGGTGTACCTTGGGGGGTGGGGGGGCGTGAAGTTGGTAGATTTACCCTTCTGCACCCTACCCCTCGTGCCCCTTTCCCCCTTTTTCTCCCCTCCTGCCTCCTGGCGATGCTTCGGCGAGATTCTGTATTGTGGCTTCACGAAAGGGGAGGCATCACATGATGATGAAATTTGCCGCATTGAGGAGAAAGTCTTGCGTTGGTTTGGGGAGGATCTTGTTCTTGGAAATGATGCCCTGAACTTGGCTGCGGGCGTTGTTCGTGATGCTCGACAAGTTTGGTGGCGGTTCAGCGGGTCTCAAGTGAGGTGGATGCTGATGTTAACCAAAAACCGCCATGGAATGGCAAGGCAGACCTATTTTGTCTGTCTGTCGTGTTCGTGCCGATAGTGAAGAATCCTTTGAGCTCAGGCTGTCTTTGGACTTGATGTGCCTTGCCGACGAGAGTTGTTATCTATGGGTGGAGAGACTCGTAACAGAACGTGAAGTTGAAGCCTGTCCCTTACTAGGCTGAAATGGATGAGATAGCAATGAAAGTATTCCATGGGCTGACCTCGCTTCACTGACAATATTGTGAACTTCGCTTTTTCCATGACCGAGTGCTGTGTCCTGGTGTCCAGACTCGTTCCACCCATAGGAAGGCATCGAGGGTAGAGCGTTGGATGAAGCCTCAATGACATCGCCAGAAGACGGCGTCCAATACCCGTAAACCAATCATTGTGAGCGATTCCACTTCAGTATCCTTGTCGTCTTAATTCAACGTTAAGACAAGTAAAGACTTTGCAGAGTCTATACACATTTGACAAGAACTTGAGACGGCCCTCGAAACGTGCCTCCGTTGTTCCTCACCACGGCATTAAGTATCTTATTTCATGGCATTGCACGTTGTATGGAGCCAAGCCTCGGGATATCATGTTGCTACTTCCTTTTTCTAGGCACGAGAAGATGGTCGTACTTGTGTTGGCGGGATGCCCCCTCCCACGCAACTTGCCCCATCCCGAGGTCGATTCTTCTTATTGTCCACACAGGGTTTCACAGGGAGATGAAGGTCTGGGAAGAGAAAATGGGGTAAGCTGCAGGAAACTACAGGAGCTGGTGCAGCGTTTGCCTGGCTTTGATCTGGTCTACTAAGGAAAAGCGTGCTGCGCTGAATAAAATTGTTCTAGTAGTAGTTGCCACTAAGAAGACTCTAGACGATATCGCCTTCGGCGAAAAGGAAGTAGAGGTGTGCCTGTGGTGACGGGGACGGCATGACCACTCATCACCGACTAATGTCATATCATCGCGTGGAAGTGTTATCTTCTGAACAGAACCATGGTTCCATGAGGCAATGTGCCTTGGTGTTCTTTGCTGTAGTTTGCGAATGAAACCGTGAGCTTCAGAGGCCAGTCTCGAGGGCGATGAAGTGTGGCGGAGGCTCTCGGATTGGCGCTTGTCATCTACCTACCATATCGAAATTCCGCGATAGAGACGCCAATCTCGTAAGGTAGACATGTCTCCAGATATCAAGCAGTTAAATGGGGGAGGGCAGAAACACAACTTGAAATCAAGTCTAAGGCGTCGACATCAAAAATAGATATAGGCCATAGACAGTAGACATGGACGAATGAGAGGTGACTACAAGCTTGAGCATGGAAATCGTCTGGCCTGTGTCTGCTTACTTCCCTTAAGCAATGGTAATCGTCACACAACGTCATATATCAATGTATAGGGACTCCATCACATTTGAAGAAGAAAAAAAGAGCAAACTTTTGAAGTCGGGACATCTTTGGGCCCCATCATTTTGGCAGCGCTATGCTACCTCACACCACACACGCCCGAGGGAATCCTCTCCCTCCCACCACGCAAGAAAGGAGGGGTGGGAAAGAACAAGAGAGGGGGATTCTTGTGAAGCCCATCCTTTTTCGTTTTTCGCTTGACCAATGTTTTGACCCGTCTTGAGAGAAATCCATTTCGTGTTTTGCAGCACTGGGGGGAGAAATGATAAAAGTGCAAATAAACCCTTAATTTCCCTCCGTGACCATGCAATGCATCATCGAGTAATTCGGGATCCCCGTGTGCCAAAAACGTGTTACGCCTCCGTGACCATTTTCATTGTTCCTCATCCCCAGATCTAACCCAGCAGCGGTCGGTCTAAATTTAAGCAGACTGTATGAAGAAGTCAGTTTCAATGTTTCCTAAGGATGCCATTCGTGATCTCGGCCAGGGAACATGAGAAGTAGCGCTCAACAGAGTGTCGAAGATCGTTCCCTCATGATGCGGCCTTTGTCAATCGCTCCTCTCATGGCTCCCTGGCCTCCATTCGAATGGCAGATATTCCGACTCTACTGACCTTGACGGCGAACTTGCGCTGGGGGAAGTGGGTGGTGCGCTTCTTGGCCTTGTCGGTGACAGCGCTGGCCTCCTTCTCGGACAATCTCCGGCGGATGGCACGGGTCTGCTTCGCGCGGAGGTCGAGGGGAGCGTACTTCTTGTTCTTGTAGAACAGGCGGAGCTGGGCGCGTTGCTTGGAGTTGATGACGGTAAGGACGCGAGCGATCGACTTGCGGATGTCGTGGCTGTAGAGCGGAAATTTTCACCGGTCAGTCCTCTTGGTTTCTCATTTTTCGATCGACGATTCCTCCAATCAACTCGGATCAGGACAGGGGGATCAAACGCACATCTTGTTCAGCTTGCTGCCGGAAGAGGCGATCTTCTGGATGCGGAGCTGACCGAGCTCGGTCTTGAGCTCACCAAGTTGCTTGGTCAAATCATCCTTGTTCTTGCTCCAAAGGGCGACGGCCTTGACCTTTCCGGACGACTGGGACATGATGAATTCTCGTCAGCGAAACGGGTTCTCTTTTCTCCTATGTGGCTCCTTGCAAGCAGCTCCTGCCGCCTCTGGTGTTCGCTTTTTTCGTCGGGAAGGGGCTAATTCGGGCGCGGGGTGTCGAGGATTCGGCGGGAAAGTTGCGTCGGGCTATTCGAGGATCGCGAATTCCATCAGGGAGAGCAAAAGGGGTTCACTCACCATCTTGACTGATATGGGGGGTGGCGCTGGATATCTGGGTTAGTATCGACACGTCGTGAGAGAGGCTGAGGTGATCGATCGTAAATTTGAAAGTTTGGCAAAAAGCTGTTGCCCTAGTTTGTGCGCAAAAATTCGGGACCCGGCGCGGGGCCTGCTGTGATTGGGTGCATGTGGGCCTTGGGGTTTCGAAGTCGCTGGTCGTGAACTGCGCCACAGCGACTCTAGCCACAGTCTGTCACCTGGGCTGACCATTCTCGAGCCAAAGCAGCTCGGCTGAGCGAGATGTCAATGGCATCGACATGTAGTTGCAACACTGTGTCTCGAATCTTTGGAAACATCTAGGGAAGCTGGCGATATTGCACAAATGTTTCGAAGTTGATCAATTAGCCCTTTTGCCTTTGGGCATAAAGATATCATAGGCCTAATTCCCGTTTCATGCCATTTGTCCCTCGTCAGAAGACTTTTTGCCAACAAGTATTTAATGAGGCAAACAGAATGCCCGAGTAACAATACCTTCTACACACGAGTTTTTTCATGGCGTTCTAGCACATCATGAGCAAATCCTTGATGCTCCAGCTTTTAATGCGACTCTACCCGCACCTGCAGTTCTCGTGCAACACTTTCGGCACTTACATAATCATTCGATGTGCACGGTCCATGTGACGCCGAGCTCCTCCCCTGCTGCGTCTGGTCCCTGCCGACAGTCCCAGACACGCGGACATGCCAGAGTCCATCGAAAGACAACATCTCGACATCAAAGGTCTACCAACGTACAGCAACCACCAAGCCATACACAATTAGCATCGAGGCGCTATGGCTGCAGCTACAGGAAACACCGGCTGGGCCCAGCTGCGGCAACAGGCAAGAAGTCTAGAAACACAGGTACGATATTCCTCCGCTCAGAACGTCATCCAGGCTTCCCTGACATCCGGCCTCCACAGACAGAGACGCTATTCCACACCTACTCTCAGTTCTCGACGGTATCCGACATCCCGGCAAAGCCCACAGAAGAAGAAAGGACCACAGAAGCGAAGCTCCAAGATCTCCTCGAAAAAGTACGCTCAAGCCCTCGTTCGACAGATCTCGGCTCTCACCCCCTTCGCTGCCTTGAACGTCCGTACTAACATGGCCGCCAAACCATCAGCGCGAGAATGTCATTTCACAATTATCCCGCCTCCTCGATTCAGAAGCTGCTCTCACCTCATCCGCTCTGAAACAGAACAACCTGGCTCTCCTTCGTGAGAAGCTCGCCGAGCATAAGCGCGATCTCGTGCGTCTGCGCAAAACCATTTCCGAGGCTCGCGATCGCGCCCACCTTCTTACGAACGTTCGCTCCGACATCGACGAATACCGTGCCAATAACCCCGAAAACGCCGAGGCCGAGTACATGCTTGCTGAGCGCAGCCGCATCGATAATAGTCACAACATGGCCGATAGCGTCTTGTCCCAGGCATACGCTGTCCAGGACAGCTTCAATATTCAGCGCGAGACACTCGCCAGCATCAACCGTCGTATCACCATGGCTGCCAGCCAGGTACCGGGGTTGAACAGTCTAATTAGCCGTATCTCAGCTAAGAAGCGCCGGGACGGCATCATAATGGGCGCATTCATTGCGTTTTGCTTCCTGATGTTCTGGTGGTTCTTGTAATAAGCGGAGGCCCGGCATGGCTGAAATGACGTTCCTCGTGTGTTTGTTATGTGTTCAACAAAGCCGTTACGACTAGGGAATTATTGGCATAAGGGAAATGCGGAGGCGTTATTGGGATCGTTTTTGAACTTTTTTTTTATCGGATAGGGGGTATCTTTGGTGCATATTGTACACTATAAGAACACGAATATCTGTAAGCCAAAGCCAGGTTACACGAGCCTGACTGCTATACAAGGTTGGCTTTTCTGAGCCACCTGAGGAAAAGTTTTCGTCCTCTTTATCAGGATACTTCCTTCTTTCCCTTCGCTGCGTCCTTGACCTGGGCAGCCTCAAGTGCTGCCTTTTCGTTCTTATTCCACTCGTGGAGGACTAGCTTCATGCCCTTCACCAAGCTCTCCCTCTCATCGGGGTGACTAGGGCCACTGGCAGCCCATCTTATCCTACACAGGTTGTCCACCAGATAAACATAGCCTACTTTGCTGTTGAGGTATCCAATAGACTCGCTAATCTCGTTTGTGATGCCGCGGGGTACCAAGAAGTACTTTCCCCAATTGTGCTCGGGGATTTGTTTGCGCAGGTTGCCCATGAACATCTTTACGATCCACGCCTTGAACTTGTTGTCCTCAATGTTGAGCTGAAGGACCTGCGTCTTTCCGGGCGTCTTGGCCAGGAGCTCATGCAGCTCCGGATTGGCCTCGGGGGAGATGAAGGTCTTTGCCTGGTCGTCGGCCCACTGGCTGCTGTAAACGGCGACGACGGAGACCTTGCCGAGCAGCGTCCGCGTCGTGTCGCGGGGGTTATTTGCGTTCTTTGCAAGGGTGTCGCCAACGAAGTTGGGGAAGAAGAGGGACATGTCGGCCTTGAAGGGTAGAGGGGGCGCGATGAAGGATTTGCCCTCGTGGAACTGCATGTTGCGCCAGTCGCGGAAGTAGGGGCGCGCCATCTTTTCCTTACTACACAAGGAAGGACATACCAATCAGCCATACGGTCTTGAGTATTTCTTTGAGGCATTATCACTGGGGAACTCACAGCTCTTTACGACGCACGAGATGCTTGTCGTAGTCGACAAAGTCATCCCTCCGTTCTTTCAGCGACCTCCTATCCACGCCAGAGTTGTCCTCTGGATGAGGCGGGTGCGGCATGCCGATAGGGCGCGGTAGAGGCTGCGGCGTAAAGTTGGTGATCTTCTTGCCGTATGCTCTCGGGGCATGAATGGCAGATCCGGGAAGGTCGGGCTTCGGAGCCTCTACGGGGGCGGCGCTGGGCGCCGGGGTCGGGAGCTTGTCGGCCAGGTAAGGTCGGGAGGTGCTCAGGTGCCGTCGCCAAGCGCAGACTGTGCAAGAGACCATCGTCCTTCTAGACGCCCCCATGGACAGGGCCATTGTCCGTAACGGTGTGATTGCAACCATTGCGCCTGGTTGTTTTGGTGTAGTTGGCTTCGACTTTCAATTTCTGTCGAGGTCTGGTCCATCCATGCCTTGTTGAACATCAAAAAATTCGCGCCACATCACTCCGGCTTCCCTGTCGCACGAAGCTGGCGCCACAAGGTCTCCAGCCACAATTTGACAAAAGCCCAAGGCCCTTGAGCCGCGAGCGATAACAGAGTGGATTAGCGACGCTTCAATGCGGAGACGAGGGGGAAAGAGCCAAGCGCACTGAACCGACGCAGCGGGTCTCGGGCCACCCTGCAGCTTCCCCGAGGGGCATTTCACATTGTGTCATGGGGGACTCAATCGACCTTCACTGGCCGAACACCGTGAATAGCCGAGTGTTTGGGGGAAAGGACAATGCCGTCGCCGAGCGGTTCAATCCTCCTGCAAGTGCGTTCGCACATTCCTTGGGGAGTGCCTTCCCTTTTTTTCATCTCTCTTTTAGAAAGAATAAAAATTTGAAGTTGGGAATTGGTTTCTTATCCTTTTAACTTTTCAAAAAATAAACCAAAATGTTTCTTCAAAGAGGATCGCGCGCCGTCCGGACGCAATGGCACGTCTCCAAGAGCATGGCTCGCCTGGCCGCGGCAAGAGCTGCCGGCGTCTACCCCTCCAGACATTTCCACGGCACACGGCATCTGCGGGTTGTGAAGCCTGTCTTGCTGGCAGATATTGGCGAAGGTTAGAAGTACCCAGTTCTACCTCTTGTTTCACAGACACATGTCTAACAGTCCCGATTTACACAGGCATCGTGGAGTGCGAAATCATACAATGGTTCGTCGAGCCCGGCGCCCGAGTCGAAGAATTCTCCCCTCTGTGTGAGGTCCAGAGCGACAAGGCGTCTGTGGAGATCACCAGCCGATTCTCAGGCGTTGTACAGAAGTTGCACTACGATGCCGGTGACATGGCCAAGGTCGGCAAGCCTTTTGTCGACATTGACATACAAGGCGGGGCTAAGAAGGAGGACCTGGATGCGCTGACAGCCCCGACGGAAGCGGCACAGGAGAAGCCCTCACAAAAGACGCCGGAACCTCCTGTACAGCCCAAGTCACAACAGAAAGACAAGACACAGGACCAAAGCAGACAAGAATCGGGGGTGGCATCTCAGGATGCGGCCAGTACTGAGGATGCCCCACGGCCAAAGGGTAGCCATGCCTCGCTTGCTACACCGGCGGTGCGGCATCTGACCAAGAGCCTGGACGTAGACATTGCCGAGATTAACGGCACGGGAAGAGACGGGAGGGTTCTGAAAGAGGACGTACAGAACTTTGTCAAACGCCGCGACGCCGGTGACAGGCCCGCTGTGGCAACGACTCCATCCCCGGCCGCCGCGGCCCCGCCTTCCGGCGCCGCACAACTCGAAACCCGGGTCCCGCTCACGAACACCCAACAGCAAATGTTCAAGTCCATGACCCGCTCCCTCGCAATCCCCCACTTCCTCTACGCCGACGAGATCGACTTCTCCAGCCTCGTCCAGCTGCGCACCCGCCTCAACCGCGTCCTCGCGACGTCCCCCGAGGTGGGCGGCGGCGAGGCCGGCGTCGCGAAGCTCTCTTACCTCCCCTTCATCATCAAGGCCGTCTCCATGGCGCTCTACCAATACCCCATCCTGAACGCGCGCGTCGATCTCGACCCTTCCTCCTCGCCGTCGTCAAAGCCGTCCCTCGTCATGCGCAGCCAACACAACATTGGTGTAGCAATGGACACTCCCGCCGGCCTCCTAGTGCCCGTGATCCGCGACGTCGGCTCCCTCAATATCCTCTCCATCGCCTCGGAGCTGACGCGCCTGCAAAAGGCGGCCTTCGCGGGCAAGCTCGCGCCGGCGGACCTCAAGGGCGGGACCATCACCGTCTCCAACATTGGCAACATTGGCGGCACCTACCTCTCGCCCGTCATCGTCGACAAGGAGGTCGCGATCCTCGGCATCGGCCGCATGCGCGCCGTGCCGGCGTTCGAGGGAGAGGACTCGGACAGGGTGGTGAGAAAGCACGTTACCAACTTCAGCTGGAGCGCTGACCACCGCGTGGTGGACGGCGCGACCATGGCCCGGGCCGCGGAGGTGGTGCGGCGGGTTGTGGAGGAGCCCGACGTCATGGTCATGCATCTGAGGTGAGAAGCGTTGCAAAACTTGTTCTGGAAGGAATTTTGGGGGAAAGGGAGTAAGCGCGCGTGTGTGTTGTATCTACCTTATGACTCCGGGGCCACCCACCACCCCAAGAGAGATGGTGAGAGAGGAAAAGGTAACCCTCAGTAAGGCGCCTTATGGATGACGCCGTTCGGCCGCCGCGTGATGCGGAGCCAGAGGCCGAGGATTCCATGAAGGTGTGGGTCGGCGGGCGGAGGGCTGGATGACTTACAAGACTCTTGACAATTAGACGTCTAATGATTTGTAGATGTGAGGCGAGGGCGAGCAGGGGTTCTACAGTGGTGGGTGTAACCAACTACCTACCTACTCTGCAAGCACCATCAAGGGGCAAAAATAGCTTGCGGGAAAAATTCAAATCCAAGAGTTCAAACGAAAACGAGGATCATCATCAAATCTACAAGATTGGGCTGCTGCCCGACGCACGTCTGACAAGCATTTAACTGTATCGTGTGCAACCCAGCACCAAATAAGGCAGTGTACCCAAGTACGTACGACCGTATGCGTTTGCGCGTTGAAGGCCGTGATATTGATACCTTACATCAACCAAGCGCTCCAGGCTGCCCCACAGAGCCAACATGCCCCCGAGGCCGACCCCCCTCTCCTCGGTGTACTTGTAGGCAGGGACATATGTGACGGCCCAGTGACGACGGACAAACGCCTCTCCACATCCTCACCGAGTCGACGCCAGCCAATGCTAAAGAATCCCTGAACGGCAAACGTGAACGATTATGCTCCGTAGCAATGCAAGTGCCTCGATCCGGCAGGTTGCCCACCACTTCAAGCAGTAACAAGGGTTTGCACATGAGTACACCACAGAAGGGGGAGGAAGGAAGGAGGGGCAGATTGGGCACGTTGAGAGGGAAGATGTAGTAAGATGGTAGTAGTAGTAGTCATATTTCGTCAGTTATAATATTGTATAATACTGAACTAAGAGAAGTTGCAAGTGACAGAAAACGCAACAATCTACCCGGCCAAAGCCTGACCATTGAGAATTCTCTGTTTTGCGAACCCCTGCATGGAGTGAGGAAACAAGCGCCAAACCGGCTCAACGTCGCCGTTGTCGCCTCCATGGCCAGCCCATTAAACCTGTCTGGCCTTGATATATCAGGTTGCCATGTGTTGTCCCTCCTCCCTCCCTGTTGCATGATTCCATCCCGCTGATTGGGTTGCGCAAAGGATGCCATTCGTGGCGCAGATCCTCGTGACACCCCTTCATCTCCGTACATTGCATGCAGGCTGACTTGTCAAAGCCAGCAGTTTTGTGAACCAGATCCCAATGCTGACGCCATGAATACCCAAAAGTAAACGCTCACTTCTATGCCCGGAACTCCAATATCCCGTAGGATAATTTGCCAAAAAAGAAGCTGCCAAAAAAAAAAAAGAACCAATGACAGTGCGCCTTCTATAGCCGGTATACAACTCATGCCTCCTCTTCCATTGCGGCCTTGACGTTGGCCAAGGCGTCGCGCTTGACTTCCTCAAGGGAGCGGCTGACGTCGAGGCTGATGACATCGGTCTCATCGGCCATGGGGGCCTCGAGAGACTGGAACTGGCTGCGGACCATGTTGGCGCCCATGTAGTGGTTGGTGGCAGCGCTGCGAGCCGTCACACGCTGGACCAGAACGCTTTCGGAGGCCGACAGGTAGATGAAGTGAATGAGGATCGAGCGATCGTAGTATCCAGCAACGCGGATCACGTCTCTGTACTTGCGCTTCAGAGCCGAGCAAGTGAGAACGACTCCGTCGGAGCCTGCAGCCAGCTGGTGGCGGGACTCTTCGCGCAGGGCAACAAGCCAGTCCCAACGGTCGGCGTCGGTAAGAGGAATGCCATTGGCCATCTTTTCGATATTTGCTTGAGGGTGGAACTTTTCAGGCGCGAGTCAGACAGAATTCCGAAATACGAGGCCAGAAAGCACCACTTACACTGTCACCCTCAATGTAGGGCAGCTTCAGAGCTTGAGCGAGGTACTCGGCGACAGTCGTCTTGCCACAGCCAGCGGGACCAGTAACTAGCCAGATGTGGTGATACTTGGTGTCGAGAGATCCGTTTACGTGTGCGCCATTGTTTGCCGTAGTCGGAACCCCAGGAACTCTAGGCTGGGTCTTGGAGGCAACGGCTTGTTGTACGCCGTTGGTAAGTCCCGAAGGAGACTTGGGAGTTTGTCCACTGACAGGCATCGGGGAGTCGTAGGAAAGCATTGTTTTGTGAGATATCGTGAAGAGGAACGGGTCACGGATAGACTGTTTCGAGGGGAGCGGGTTTATGGCGCTGTTGCGTTGTCTGGAGGAGATAGGTTGAGACGTGTAGGTAGCAGCTCAGGTCTTTGACACGATCTAGGAGATAGTTATGGGATATTGAAGAATTCAACAGATGACGTGTAGTATTATATGTAAGTTTATTTTTGTGAGGGTGACAAAAAGATCAGAGACAAGTCAAGGAAACGGCGATCGGAGTGTAAGTGTAGGGCGTTCCTGTCTTATAAGTGTCACGGACGAGACTTCTCTGGGTCTGGGGGATCGATGAGGTAAAAAATTCCAACCGGGACTCAAGGGGTGCCCTGACGGCAACTAAAACGCCCTGGGGGGAGCGCACAGCAGGTTCCAGTACCTGGACTTCAGCGGACTTCTCTCGGGCCAGGGGTAGAGAGGGACCAGGGGGGTGTCACTGACCCGGATCCCAAAGAGCGGCGTCCCCTAGTCGTCATGGTGGCCAATCAAGGTGTTGCATACCCCAGCGGGGAGAAATCCGTTACTCCACAAAGCACTGGGGGAGGGTGGTCAAGCCCATATCCGTGGGGGTGCGCTCAGAGATGACTGTGTGCTTGCGTCTGATGTCCTTGACTGCTGTCTCCATGTACGGATACGTTCGCCTTGTACTTTTTCTCCGCGGGATCCAAATGCCAAGGAGGTCGCATCTGGGGCAGACGTGGGATGAATGGAACAAGATCAGAGTTGCGCCTGATGGAGGGCAAATCGTTGGACGAAACGAATCCGTTGTTAAGTTACAATATCCGGCTGTTGGAGCTTGAGATGTTGCGACGGGTAACTGCATTCAGGTGTCTAGGTTTTGAGACTGAGCACCTAGCAATGGCGCGCAATCGACTATTGGGATCATCTTTGGTAGCTGCGGTACGGCAACTAGGTAAGGTGGTAGACGTGCTCAGGCCGGCCCTCCAAGATTGTCCACTAGGCTGTCATGTACTGTAGCCAGAATAAGTCTGATGGCCTTCGGAACATCCTATGTCTGTACCGTGATGGCGGAAGGGTGAGGGAGACCAACAACGGCAACCATAGAGAGCCGAATAAAGGTATTTCGTGTCTGTATTCGGTTCGCGAATCGAATCCCCTGTGTGTTTCTAGTGTATTCGTACCACTCCCCCAAGGTGGTGTACCAGTCTGCGGTGCGGGGTGCGGTGCGATGCGGTACGCTGCGTCGTGTGCATACGGCATCTCAACGAGACCAGGATGAGAGTGTCAGGCGTACCAGGAAAAGTGATTGTCCAGGGCAAACGCCGATACCTAAAACAATTGTGCTGAGTGTTAGCACATTGGCACAGAGCAGGGTGTGGCATTACGCAGTAGGTGTACGTAGTGCTGGGAAAAGGCAAAGCCGGCGGCGATGACAGGACTTGTGTCGCGGGTCCCGGGGAGGGCGGAGGACGGGGCTCGGTCAAGGAAGATGGAAGACTCCAGTTGGTCAGAGACAGAGGAGATGACGATGCTGAGGATGAAAAGGGTTCGAGAGACCTGAATGGCGGGGGGCAGAGAAGGGGGAAAGTGATGAGCGCGGTCGGGCAGGGTGGACGAGGGGGTGCCATTGGCGAGGTGTGGACTGTGGAGGAAGCAGCGTGGGGGGACACACTTTTTCTAGAACATGGCACTAGGGAATAATTACCTGAATCGGGCAGGGGCCAGGGAATCGAGCGAGGTCACTCGACACGCAAAAAAAGACGGAAAATAGAAAGAAAGGGGAAAAAACTTATTAGGCCCTCGACCAAATTTCCAGCCTCGGTGGGGGGAAAGTATCCGATGACGGGCAGCAAACAGCAAGCTTTGACCTGAGGTGAATATGAGGTGACCTTTTGCTCAAGTAAACGCAACTGAAGATACTTCACATCCTTCTCTGCTTCTGAAGTCGGAAGGCCCTATTTGGTCAGTGGGGGTCGGTTCGGTGAGTAAGGTAAAACACCTGCACAGTACGGAGTACCTTAGGTCATGTTGAGAAAATCCGCACACCTACCTACGGTAATTGGGATCGGTAGCTCGGAACACCTTTCATCTAGTAGCCAAATACCTTAATCATTAATGACCTGCATGCTTGCTTGTAACTCCGTGTTGTTCCTGTGGAACAAGTGCAGTGACTTGTCCGTTTCTCGCTCGACCAGCCTGGCTAACAGACCTGGTCCCCGTCCGGAACTGGTGATGGACGGGGGAAAGTGCAATAAAGTGCGTTTGGCTCTCGGGCAAGCACCGAGAAGCAAGGATTACATCATACCAGCCTTCTAGGTATGCAGTGTCTGTGTCTGTACTCTGTCGTGGGGAAAGAGGTAGTTACGGATACTTGGTACGATTGCTCCCGCTCTATGGCTGCTGCCTTCCATTCCATTCTCTTTCCGAATGCACGAGGACGATGTCAATACCTTGGAGGTATCTACTCCGTACTCCCCGTACCTACCTACCTTTCCAACGAATAATAGAAGACAGCCAAGCGGGGGAGAGCCGGCTGACACTTTGCGATCCGAGGAAAGTGGCCACCGGGGCTAGCTCCCTCGTCCATTCATATAAACTTGCGAGACGGCAGTACTACGTACATTCTCCTTGGTCCGTACCGATGCACCTGCATCTTAACTTCCCAGCCGTGCCAGCCCAGTCCACTCTGCCCCCGTCGCCCTAAGGTCCCGTCATCAACCATGGACTATGGGTCATGAGGTGCAGTCTGCATGCTCTGACTCTGGCGTCTGAGGTGCTCTTTCAAGTTTCGGCTCGGCTGGAGTTCCGGGCGGGGCTCATAACGAGCCGGCACCATTGTCACCACATGGCGGCTCGAGTCCTTGGCCCACCCATTGAACTTGGGAAAATGTGGTTTTCGGTTTGGAGTCTGAAAACAGTTCCCCCTCCCTTCATCGCACTGACTACTTTCCAGCCATTCGGATTGCGTCCTATCATCCTGCGACTCTTTTTTCGCGCTCCTCTCTTCCTCCACCATCGGCCCTCTGCCTCTGTCTGCGTCCACTCTTTCTTCCCACACAGCCCACGCTGTCACGCTGTTCAGACTTCAGAGGCTCCAATTCCCTCCGCAAGACTCCGCTAGGCCCTGGTCCTGGTCTTGCTGCAACCAGCCGTGGTGCATTGCCAGCAGTCAGCTCGTGTGCTCGTCTTGTCGTTGCTGTCTCATCCTATTTTGCCCGCTTTCTTTTTCGCTCCTCCAAGTCTCCAAATTTCTCACCACTCTTCGACCGCCTTCTCCAAGCCCAAAGTGGATCGACCACCGCTCCAAGCACTCCCCGCCAGCTTCCCCAACACTGAACCCAACCCAACGGTCAGAGGATGCGACACGCGAGCGGACAAGGATGGGCCCTTTCCAAAAATTCTTTTTCCTTCTTAATGTCTCGACATACGGACCACACTACGTAAATACGTGCGTATTTTTGTCCACAAGTACCGATACCAATCAGTACCGCGCTCATCGGCACATCGGCCTCTCACCGCTCTCAACATGAGCCAGGTGACTGATATCTCGGTGGAGCATGCAGTCTATTAAAATTGCGTCGCGACTGCGATAGATGCATCGGGAACGCTTGTCTCCATCGACTATCGGCTCGGCTTTTGACCTCAACTCTGACAAGAAAGCATACTCCGCAGTGATGTGGACGTTGCACCAAATAGGCTCACGCCGTTGCCATCATATACATATGCTCAATGAACGGGCGGCATCCGTATGGCCCCCGCCCATCTCATCTATTGCGGGGGAATCGATTGCAAGTTTCGTGACACTTTGCTCAAAGTCAAACCCCACAACGCCATGTTTCTTTGACAAGGGATGAGAAGATCTCGGCGATTCTTACAGTGGTTTGGGGTCTCTGAACACAGTGAGAAAGTAACCGTGGTTCGATTATCAAGTTGAACATCACATTCATCCGTACCTGTGTCAATCGAGAAAATGAATCACTGGTGTAATGCAACCATTGCCTAGCTTCGTCCTCTTCTAACGGTCATCTCATTGTTACTTGCCATCACAGCAGTATTGTCATCGGGCTCCGGTCATATCCACTCTATGGAAGGCTGCGACAACTCCTCTATTCCTTACCAACCTGTGAGGCAAACTGGCAATGAGCGCGCTCACCGGTCCTGTCATCATCGGCACGCACGATAGAGGCCCATGCAAGACATTGCAGTCCAGGCAGATCGCTCCCGATGAGGGCCTGGACGAAGGCTACATGCAATGCGCCCAACATTCCGGATTCCACACACCGCAGACACAGACACGGATACTCTCGTTGGTACTGAAGCAACTGCGAGAAGAAGAGTGAAACTCGAATAATACTGCTTGTCCAAGCCACGGCGGCGCGGGGGATGTTCCCCGGTGACCGCCCTCGGTCTGAGCATCCATGTCACCGTCGTTGGTTTCAAGGGCGCTTAAACTGACCTGCAGCACTGCTCGCTCCGAGACGCCAAGGTAAATGGTCCGAACACTCGGAATCCCCGGGATCTCTCTTCACTTCCCCGGTCGAGAACTCGGCGCAACTCGAAGTGGCATGCAGCACCAGTCGGCTCCTCTTCCCGGCCGAGTCGACACACTTCTTCCTTTCTGTGGATCCACACATCCGTCGCACAACAGCCGCAACGTGAGCGACATCCTTGCGAATTTCGAGAGAAACGTGAACCGATTTTGGACGGCTGGTTGCACCGCCTGATCAAGATGCTGCCTGTGTGTCTGTCAGTATCGCTCTAAAGACTTGTTCAAACCTCCACGAAAGCCTACATTAGGTACCTGATGTACCGGTACCTATGAGGAGCTTCTCGGCCGCAAGCTCTAGGACACGTCAAATGTCGCTATGCTGACGCTGCGTTGCAACTTTGACATTGGTGGCTTAGTTGGCCGAATGCTACGTTCTAGACAAGGGGAACTCGCCCAACTTGTCTACCAGCCTATGCGACAACGACTTTATATTGCGCTTCCTGCAGCATACCGTCCGGCCGTCGACATTCCTTGCTCCGTCGTGGTTGAGGGATATATATCAAGTGACTTGGTGGCGCGTTCACTTGATTATGCCCTCTCAAAGCCGCTCATGCTACACCCTCAGGCGTCTCGTCTGCACGGCTTGACTGGGAATAATATAGGATGTCAGTGGCGACGCGAAAACATGATGATGAATGTCAGATATGATAGCGAGAACCAGGTTTTGAACGAAGCGCAAGCAACCACCAAGACGTGCGCATTGCAGCTTGCCAATGCTGTCTGCCTGCTCATGCACGAGTAGGTAGCTCACGTGAAGGTATCCATTGGCTCTTGAAGTATGCATAGAACGACAGACTGCAATTGACAGGCACGATCTGCAGATCTTAGACTCAGGTGCAGACTGTAAGCTAGATCCTCTCGGTGAGCAGAACGGTGTACGGGAAGAGTCGGCATCGCTTCGCCAGCGATGAACTGGGGTGTCGGTGGTCTGTCGCCAAGTAGAATGCTTTCACAACAACTTAAAAGTCCGTTCTTCCAGCTTATTTTAGTATAAGTTATTCACTCGGACTATTGAGAGAGCCATTCTACTCAGCAATCAATGGTCGTGTCTCTCATGACAGGTTTAGCCTGCTGCTTTTATGGACGTTACTCTTAAGTATTAGTGCGTTCTTAAAAGCACCAGAACTGTGAAATGCGGGCAAAAGGGGTAAAGCTGTCAAGCAAGCAAACGGCTCATATCATGCGCTTATATCTCTTGGATTCTTGTGTCTCAATGCCAGACGTTTCAGTGTCTCTCAGAAAGTACAAGTCTGTCCTTTCAACCATCCAACCGATAGTGTTGGTGTTGAAGTTGACCTCGAGTTGGTGGTTCGCTCCTTGCGAAGCCCCATGTGGATGGCACTCACATTTTATGAGCCAACACTAACCGCGGTCAACCGGGCTCTCTACTAGGTACGAGCAGGCGAGATCCCAGACCTGTGTGATATCAAAGACTCGAACTGAAATCACAGCAAATCAAGTGTCCAGGTATAGTGGAATACACTGGAGGAATGTTTCTAATGTTCCCATCGCTTGCCCCTCCTTCTCTATTGGTTGTAGTTTTGTAAATAAATCAGTTGTTTCGTTAACAAAAGTACCAGTATTGCCCCTCATTGTGGCTGAAGCTCCAACGTCGTCGCCTGCCTCCAAGCCTGTTTGGGGAGGTGAATATGTTCCCCATGGCATACGAGATTATTTACAGACTGGGGAATTATTTCCACAGGTCTCGTGGCCAGCAGAAGTGGCTTCCAACATAATGGCCAATCGTCACAGTCAAAAGAAAGTCAAGCCACGGAGCGCCACGATAGAGAAGCTCCTGGCCTGTGCATAGAGAGCCGCTTCCCTGTTCAAATAACGAACCTCCGTCTGCGGCTTGTGTGGCTCTTCCCCGCTGCTGGCGGCGCCTGAACACAGTTGTCGTCTGCTCATCCACTGCACCTGCCTCATCAGTGACCAATGACCAGTGCGGCACCATCTCGACTCCTCATGCGGGTTTCATCCATTTCCGCCCTCCAAAGGCTGACATCTTTGCGAGCTACTTCTTCTTTATTTCACACTTCTCCCAAGACTTTGAGACCTAGAAATCACTTCCCCTTGCTTGCGAAACCCTGCCGGCAGAGATTTTCCACAATGAACGCTCAGGAGCTCAAGCACTACCTGGCTGACGCGCCGCCGAGCGTCGTCCGTTTAGAGATTGAGAAGCACTTTGAACCCCTCACCGACAAGCAGAAGCGCTATGCGCATTTCATCAGCAAGTAAGAACCCCGTTATGATGCCATGTCATCCTTGGTGTTAGCTATGCCAAGCTTTTATGGGGGAGCGGAAGCTAAAGGACATGTTAGAGCCTCGTTTGCGGGAACCCGTATTGTGCTCAGACAACTTTCTCCAGAGTCAGAGCCCATCTACGACTTCATCATTGCCTTACACAAGAGCAGTGGTGGTGACTGGAATAGCCTTGCCAAGAAGGCTGGTGTCGATGAGAGCCAACTGACCCACTTCCTGGAGTATGCTGCCCAATTCTTGGGCAACAATGGCAACTACAAGAGCTTCGGCGATGCCAAGTTCATCCCTAGAGCCGATGAGAAGACTTTCGCGGCCCTTGCTGCTACTTCTCCTGAGGCTGAGCGCTTCTACAAGGCGACCAACGGTGCCATCTTCAGCTCTGACAAACAGGCGCTGATGCACCTTGGATTCCCTGACAAGGGTCACATGACTACCTACTACCCCGATTCGCCTCACATTACCCAGGAGGAGATCGAAGCCGTGTCCGCCTGGATGGAGAAGAAGGGCCTTCTCCCCGAGAACAACCGTCTCCGCAAGACCAAGGAGGGCACTTTCGAAATTCTCATTGCCTCGGCTGTCACGAGCGTTCCCGCTGAAGGCGGTGACATTGGCAAGGAGACTGAGTTCCAGGTGGAGGATGGTCTTCTCAAAGGCAAGACGATCAAGCTGGTATACGGCGACTATGCCGCTGAGATGAAGGCTATTTCCGAGTATATCACAAAGGCGCAGGAGAATAGCGACAACGAGAACCAAGCAAAGATGCACGAGGCATACGCGAAGTCTTTCTCAAGTGGCTCCCTCCTCGCATTCAAGGACAGCCAGAGATTCTGGATCAGAGACAAGGGCCCTATGGTTGAGTCAAACATTGGTTTCATCGAGACCTACAGAGATCCCGCCGGTATTCGCGGCGAGTGGGAAGGCTTTGCATCTGTGGTCAACCTGGAGCGTACCCGCGCCTTTGGCGCTCTCGTCTCCGCTGCGCCCGAACTGATTCCCCTCCTCCCGTGGAGCAAGGATTTCGAGAAGGACAAGTTCTTGTCGCCCGACTTCACATCACTCGAGGTTCTGACCTTTGCCGGATCTGGAATTCCTGCTGGAATTAACATCCCCAACTACGATGACATTAGGCAGACTGAGGGCTTCAAGAACGTTTCTCTCGGCAACGTTCTGAGCGCCAAGGCTCCCAATGAGAAGATCCCTTTCATCTCCGAAGCCGACTTGGAGTTGTACCACAAGTACAGGGACCCTGCTTTTGAGGTGCAGGTTGGCCTTCACGAGTTGACTGGCCACGGCTGCGGCAAGCTTCTTCAGGAGACCTCTCCCGGAACCTACAACTTTGACGAGAAGAACCCTCCCGTCAGCCCCTTGACTGACAAGCCCGTGACCACATGGTACAAGCCCGGACAGACATGGGGATCCGTATTCGGCAGTCTTGCTGCTTCATACGAGGAGTGCCGCGCTGAGCTCGTCGCTATGTACCTTGGGTATGTATCCTGCAACCGGCTGTGTAGAAATACCTGGCTAATCTGGGCATAGATGCGAGTTCCCCGTTCTTAAGATCTTCGGCTTCGGCGACGGAAGCACCGACATCAACAACGAGGCTGGCAACGTCCTGTATGCTGCGTACCTCCAGATGGCCCGCGCCGGTCTTGTTTCCCTGGAGATGTGGGATCCCAAGAGCCAAAAGTGGGGCCAAGCGCACTCGCAGGCTCGCTTCTCTATCCTGCAGGTTGGTGACAATGACGTACGCTTATGAATGCCCAAATGCTGACTTATCACTCTCTGTAGTGCTTTCTCCAGGCTGGCGACGACTTCTGCAAGCTGGAGTACAAGAAGGATGATCTGTCCGACTTGGAGATCAAGCTTGACCGTTCAAAGATTCTGACCACTGGTCGTGAGGGTATGTTGTTCCCAATCTCGTGACGCGCACTTTAGGGCACATCAATGCTGACTGACAATTTGCAGCCGTTGGAAAGTATCTTCAGAAGCTTCACGTGTATAAGGCCACCGCTGATGTCGAGAATGGCACCGCCTTCTACAAGGAGATGACCAACGTGGACATGGACTTCTGGGGCACAAAGGCCAGAAACGTCGTCCTGGCCAACAAGCAGCCCCGCAAGGTCTTCGTCCAGGCCAACACCTACCTCGACGAGGCCACCGGCAAGGTCAGCATCAAGCACTACGAGGCGTCTCCGGCAGGTATCATCCAGAGCTGGGTCGATCGTGACTTGTGACTAAGCCCAAAGTCCGAGACGGCCAAACTGTGAGAGGCTGGCTGTGAAGAGAATGAAAGGGGACCCTGCATCAACCATAATAAACCTTGTAATACCATGCTCCTAAAAGGGGCCAGAACATTCAAAGTTTCGTATACCATTCGCATAAAGTGAAACCCAGTGGATGCTGTTTGAACGTTTCCGAGATTTTCGTCAGGCTCCTTACATCAAATCTTGACATCATCCACTTTAGTCATCACGAGTCGAGGAAGTGCAGTGTATGGTTCATGTCAAATATTGTCATTCCCTCGTAAAG